TCTCTCTCTCTCTCTCTTTCTATCTCTCTCACTCTGTTTCATTTGTTGCACTGTGCGTTCAGTAAACTCACTGCAGCTGGTAGGAATGTATTTTTAGATAATTGAAGCACTACAGATCATTATGCAAGTAGGTCAACACAAATAAACAGCACATAATTTCCTTACTCTAAGGTATCGAATGAATGGGGAGGGGGGGCTGTAGGAATAAACAGGGGGTATAGAAAAGTGGTCCAAAATTAATAAACAGAAAGGGGGGGGGGGAATAAATGAGGGGTGAGGACAAGTGCTCCAAATTAATTAGGGGGGGGGGGGAGATGGCACATTCAACCTCATACCCCTGAACTAGTAGGGACAAATCTGTTTCATTTCTCTTTCAGTGATTAAAAGAACAAGAGATCGTGAAATTTTAGTGATTTCAGTAAGTTACTGAGACAACTTTTCCCATTTAGGAACAATGCCCAGTTTTCTCTCATCTGTCTTTCAATCCCTGGTCCATCCAATATATTTCCCACCCATTTTCATTCATTCATTCATTCATTCATTCATTCTGGATAAAGACTCCATTCGCCCAAAGCGACAAGAGCATTCTGAGAAATAAATATTAAAATTTCATTGCCAAAAAATACATAACAAACGTAGTCTATAAAAAGATACTTCAGTAAGTATCATTGTATGGCACAGGCTAAACATATCACAACAGTCTGAAGGAGTCATAGTATGGCACCAGCAAAAAATCAAATTTCTCCTTCACCCTATCCGTACGCCCTGGGGTCATTTTGTACCCCCCAGGGTTGTATTCTTCACATTTTAGAATACATACTTCAAGTACGAAGATCTCTTTGAAACTTTCAGTATTTCTCGAAAAATCATTTTGACAGACTGCTATGCAAAGCGTACGGATCGGATTATATATAACGAGTAAATTTCCTCTTTGGAAAGTGGTGGCACAGTTCCCCACGTCGTATGAATACGAAAGTAAATCACGATGTACGGATAGGGTAAAGTGGTGGCACAGAGTTCCCCGCGTCGTAAAACACGATGTACGGATAGGGTTAAGTCAAAGTGCATTCAACATGAGACAATATAAAAACCAGTATGGCTGAAGAGTGCGGTTGAAAAAAAAAATACAGTCCAGCAGCACCAGCACGTACACTGCAAAATTGGCAGGACAATGAAATCTTCTCGTTTTGTACAAAGTACGAATTTTGCTGTGGACAAATATAAAATGCAATAAAAACTTACTAGCGGTCACAATAGAATTGAAACTTGAATGGCTGCAGACCAGAATAAAACATTTGTTCCCAATAGATAGAATAACATTTTTCCTCTCTCTCTCTCTCTCTCTCTCCTTCTCCCTCTGTCTCTCTCCCTTTCTCTCTCTCTCTCTTTCTCTCTCTCTCTCTCTCTCTCTCTCTCTGTTTCCCTCCCTCTCTCTCTCTCTCTCTCTCTCTCTCTCTCTCTCTCTCTCTGTTCCCCCCCCCCCTCTCTCTCTCTCTCTCTCTCTCTCTCTGTTTCCCCCCTCTCTCTCTCTGATTCTGACACGCTATTTCTTCAGTCTCACCATCGGGCATACACATGCCTGTATCAGAAAAAGTAACAGTTCATCATTATGACAAGTTTGCATAGTGAATGAGTAATGCTTCAGCTGTTTTTTGAAAACGTGAATATTATTAGGGGCACTCCTTATTTTGCATGGTCGCTTTTAAGCACAAGGGGGCTACCCCGAAATATGTTGTTTTGAGAAAATCGAAGGTAAAGTTTTTGGACCCTTGTTCAGTTTCTTTTAAAGACTAGGAAAGTTTTCTCTATAGTCAAACAAATATACACAGCAATGAAACCAAACTTCTCCTATAGGCAGGGCAAAGCATAATTTTGGTGTGGGTGAAGATTTCTGGAAACCCCCGAAATCTGGGTTAGCCCGCTTGTCCTTAAAGGCGACCATATAAGAGTTCGTTGTATGCAATATTTTCCTCGTTCAGGAATTGAACTCAGGTCTCCTGCTAGCAACAGCGAAGAGCCTAACCACTACACCATAGATGCCGGTGACCTTTACTACAAACGTGAGCTTGGTCCGAAATATTCCAGAACAATCTGGCACAAACGAGTTCCGTCTGGCTTCTCTATCGAACACTTTATCAGAAACTTGTCCTTGTCGGGCGTCCAGATATGAGTGAGCACAGTATCTCCTTGCTTGCACTCGTTGATAAAGTTAATTTTAACATTTTTCAGCCCCCATTTAACGATTTCCTCAGACATCCCATCAACAGCTGACAAATCACTACCCAACAAATTTCGCTGGGACTCGGAGAATCGGAAACTGCTTTCGTCTCCCTTGTTGTGTCTGTCTCCTGAAGACTTGGACTTCAGAAAAAGGGCATGGTGCAAGGCGTACAAGGCAAACTTTGGATAGATGGTGAAGTTCGTGTGGTTGTTGCAATCCGTGTCCAGCCAAAAAACCTGAAAGAGAGGAGCATAATAATGTTATAGTCGACTACGCATGAGTTGGTGTCATTGGGGGGAGGGGGGAAAAAAAGATCAACTCATCCAAAGTTGAACTTAACTGTAGGGACCTGTAAAGAAGAAAATGGTGCTGGGACCCGAGAAAAATATCTCAACTTTACAGAAGATCAACTCCAGCGAGTTCAACACAAGCGGAGTTGACTGTGTGCGTGTATATATATATATATATATATATATTTGCACCGAAATAAGAAGACAAAATAAACTCAAATGAAAGCAATGCAAAGAATTAATTAATTTTTAAAAGATATATATTATGTGTCACATTGTGGTAGAATCAGGCACTTGTCAATTTTTGGGCATGGGGAGTTATTGGTATCATCTTAAAACTTGTTAAAAATTAACTGTCTTGCTATTGGGGAAAAAAAGCCCATCTATCTTGAACAGAAGTCATGATATTTGAGACTGAAGAAAGTGGGGTTGCCTGGTTTCAAACGTAGAATAAACAAGAAAATGGCCGCCAAAGTTTGGTTATTTTCGTAGCTTGATAGTCCGTGGAAACTGAAAACTTACATTTTTTATGCCTTTAATCAACTTTTTTCAGTAAAATCCACCCAGAAATGTGTTGTTAAGAGGAAAACAATATTGTTAAGCCAAACAACAAAAAATTAATAAAAATTACCAAACTGGTAGAAAAATGCCAGTTTCTTCAATTTAATAATTTTGACGAACGCCTGATTTCACCACGCTACCTCATATATGTGATGCAGCATGGTGGAATCAGGCTCTCGTCAATTTTTATGCATGTAGAGTTATTGGTATCATCTTAAAGCTTGTTCACTTGTCTTTTTTTATGAAAAAAATATCCATTTATCTTGAATACAAGTCGAGATATTTGCAAATGAAAGAGGTGGGGTCACCTGTTTTCAGAGGAAAAATTAGTGAGAAAATGGCCGCCAAAGATTATTTATTTCCTTAGTTTAAGAGTCCGTCGTAACTGAAAATTTCAATTTTTTGTGCCTTTAATCAATGTTTTTCAGAAAAATTCTCTCAGGAAAGAGTTCTTTAAAGGAGATGAAAGGTGTTGAGCCAAAAAACAAAAATTTGATTAATATTCACAAACCTGCGGAAAAATGCAGTTTTCTTCACTTTGATTATTATGACGAGAGCCTGATTCCACCACGCTGCCTCACATATATATATATATATATATTTATATATATATATATATATATATATATATATATATATATATATATAATATATAAAACAAACTGTATTGTATACACGTATACATACCTCAACAGAGTGCACAAAGGTTCTCGCCGGTCTCTCAAACTTCTCCACAACAAACGGAACATTTTCCATCGTTCCTTTACCCTCAAACCTTTCTCGGAACCACCTGGGTAGAACGGCGGGTTTTCTCGAAGCAGTGTCTATGAGAACCAATCGGTACACCTGGGTCACCACAGGCATGGCATCACCTGGAAAAAACAGCTGCGCGTCCATGACCATAGACGTCCGTCCGACGTGCCTGAGGGAGACCTTGACCTCCAGGTTTGACGACCTCACCGACCTGTGGTACAGTCCTCTGGACATTTCGATCTCCATGGCCCCGAGGAAAGATGTGCCCTCTTTCACTACGTTATACCAGTTGATGAAATTTTCCCCATTTTCGTCTCTAATGTGGTGCATTCCATAAGCCCGGGCCTCAACCAAAAAAGTTAAAAGTTGGTCAATTCCTGGGAGATCTGAAAAAAAGAAAGAAAGAAAATCGGGACAAAAACAAAAGATCCAAAAAGCAAATTGCAGAAACTTGAGTAACCGACCAATTGTTACCATTGTCTCTATGCTCTTTGCAATCTAGTGGTTAGGCTCTGAGACTCGCAACCGTAAGGTCGTGGGTTCGAATCCCGTCAGGGACCCGACGTTGTGTCCTTGGAAAAGGCACTTCACACAAATTTTCCTCACTTCACCCAGGTGGGAATGGGTACCCGGCTAAAGACAGCGAAAGATCTTGTCAGTTTGTTAGTGTTTGAGCGATTAATCAGCTGCTTGCACTGTATGCTTCCCGGGAAGCTGAGAATGTTTCGGAGTGTTCTATGGTCTGCTGGGGTAATAATGTAGTGTAAAGCGAATAGAGCCTGCTGTTGAGCGGGGATATGCGCTATACAAATGCTATTTAATATTATTATTATTACTAGTGGAAATAACATTTTTTTAAACTTATCAACACGACAGCCTGTTCCTTCCAACACTGACTTACCAATGTCAGACATGGCAGCTAAACACAGCAAAAAAAAGGAGGTTCCTTGACTGGGACATGAAATGCCTCAGAGATTTAATTGACCCCACCAGGAGGAAAGACTGCATTAGGATCGAAACTGTCCGAAATCTAATAACAGAGATGGAATCGTTTAGTGTCATGGAACATATCGAACATCAAGAAACCAAAAGTGGTTTGGTTGTCTAACCCTATCCATACGTCCTGTTTTACTATAGTACCCATATGACGTGGAGAACTCTGCGCCACCCCTTTCCAAAGACGAAATTTACTCGTTAATCCGATCCGTATGCTTTGCAAAGCAGTCTGTCAAAATGATTTTTGGAGAAATACTGAAAGTCTCAAAGAGATCTTCACACTAGAAGTATTCTAAATTATGAAGAATACAACCCCGGGGGTACAAAATGACCCCAAGGCGTACCGATAGGGTTAAATGTGTGAGGCATCAAGGTTTAATTTTTTTTTAAATTTATGTCGATAAGGCAATTTTTATCAAATTTTTAATTTTTGGCCTAACACCTTCATTTCTGTGTGGATTTTACTGAAGAACAATGATTAAAGGCACAAAAAAAGTACAATGTTTAGTTTTCAAGGACTCTTAAGCTATTGAAGTCACCCTACTTTTGCAGCCATTGTCTCGTTAATCTTACCTCAGACACCAGGCTACCCCGACCTCCTTCAATCACAATTTATATCTCGACCTCTTTCAATCACAAATTATATCCCGACCTTCAATCACAATTTATATCTCGACCTCCTTCAATCACAATTTATATCTCGACCTCCTTCAATCACAATTTATATCTCGACCTCCTTCAATCACAAATTATATCTTGACCTCCTTCAATCACAATTTATATCTCGACCTCTTTCAATCACAAATTATATCTCAACTATTATTCACAAAACATCGGGGTTTTCTTTTATTCCTTTGGAAGATAGACAAATAAACAAGCTTTTTAATGATACCAATAACTCCTCAAGCGCAAAAATTGATATTGTTTTCATTTCTAAATGTGAGGCAGCGTGGTGGAATCAGGCTCTCGTCAATTTTAGGGCACATCGAGTTATTGGTATCATCTTAAAGCTTGTTTACTTGTCTTTATTTGGTTGAAAAAATATTCGTTTATCTTCAATACAAGTCGAGATATTTGAGAATGAAGGTGTTTTCAGGGGTAAAATTAGTGAGAAAATGGCCTCCAAAGATTAGTTATTTCCTTAGCTTAAGAGTCCGTGGTAACTGAAAATTTACTTTTTTGTGCCTTTAATCAACATTTTTCAGAAAAATCCACACAGACATGAGTTCTTTAAAGGACATGAAAGGTGTTGAGCCAAAAAACAAAAATTTGATAAAAATTCACAAACCTGGGGAAAAATGCAAGTTTCTTCACTTTGATTATTTTGACGAGAGCCTGATTCCACCACGCTGCCTCACAAATTGTTTTCATTTTTAAATTTAGATTTTTTATTTACACCCCCTTTGACACAATTTAGATCATTTAAGGAGGCGCGACCCTTCCTGTTTGTTTGTTTGTTTGAGTAAGGAGAAGCTCATCTACACAATATTAAAATGTAACGGTATTTAAGTGTTCGGAAAAATAAGTATCACAGACAGACCGAAATAACAGAGGTTAAGTGTCAAGTAGATATCTAGAGAGCCACTTATCTTTCCAATATCAAGCAATAAAATCATCAAGTTTTTTACCGGTAAAAATAATAAACAAATCAGAACATGATGAGAACCCCTTTTTTTATTAGTATCCACTTTTTGTGAATTTAATTATGAGACGCACCGTACCCTATCTTTTGAAAAACTATATGGTTGCTTTTAAGAAGAAGGCGGCTATCCCAAAAATGTAGATTTTTTATTTACAACCCCTTTGACACAATTTAGATCATTTAAGGAGGCGGGCTTCCGACCCTTCCTGTCAGGGCCAACCCACGCTGAGAGGGATACAACATCCCAGTAGAAAGGCCGAGACACTCAATATAAATTTCTTCGCCAGGTTTCAAAATGGGGTCTCTAGCGTTTGACAGCAAAGTGCCTAACCGCTACACCACCACAGACTCTGGTGTTGAAACTTTACATATATAAATGTACTTCTTTCATGTTTTCTGATCATGATGTAGGTCTGTGGGTAAGAGTTTTAAGGCACTTGCAACACAATAAGGTCATATAAGTGCCGAAGATTATAGGTGTTACAAGAGAGTAACAAACACAAAATAGAAGGAGGAGAGATAAGAACGATAGATGTTTGATAGGAAAGAAGGAGCAAACCACACCAGAGCACCCACCAACCACCCACTTATTTGAATTAGAATTAATGACAAGCACATCGACAAATCTGTACGGTAGTTATGTCTTTCTATGTTTTGTTCAAGGATAAAAACAGAAAACCAGATTTTTGAGTGAGTTGCACATACAGATCACAAAATCATACACAGAAATTATAACTGAAACACTCTGCTCTAGATCAGGCTTGCCAACTTTCGAGATACTGAATTCTGGAATTTTGATTGCTCCTGAGCGCCACGGACACACACTTCTGTACACTTCTGTGATAGGCTACTAAAAAACAGCTCAAACAAACCAGTGGAGAAACAGAGAGAGACAGAGATGAGAATGTAACAGTACAATTAGTACACATACCCCTTCGTCCTCAGCATTTCTATGCCTTTGAGTAAGAAAAAAAATTTAGGGGGGGGTGGGGGGGGGGGAGACATCGCGCTGGCGTTTCGGGAAAGGTTCGGGAACGACGATGGCAATTCTGAAATTTCTTGAAAAATTCAAGAAGGTTGGCAAGCCTGATTCAACTTACTGTTGCGATCATAGACGCCAAAATTGAATCCTGGATGAAGATACGTCATATATCTAGGGTTCTCGTTTAGTTTAGGATTTTCCACTTTCGTTTTTTTGCTCGTGTCCTTCGCTACACAGTCATCCCTGAGTTAAAGGAAGAAAACAAAAGCAGAACACAGTATAAACATAAGTAGACAAAACACAGTAAACATAAGTAGACAAAACACAGTAAACATAAGTAGACAAAACACAGTAAACATAAGTAGACAAAACACAGTAAACATAAGTAGACAAAACACAGTAAACATAAGTAGACAAAACACAGTAAACATAAGTAGACAAAACACAGTAAACATAAGTTAGACAAAACACAGTAAACACAAGTAGACAAAACACAGTAAACATAAGTAGACAAAACACAGTAAACATAAGTTAGACAAAACACAGTAAACACAAGTAGACAAAACACAGTAAACATAAGTAGACAAAACACAGTAAACATAAGTAGACAAAACACAGTAAACATAAGTTAGACAAAACACAGTAAACACAAGTAGACAAAAAAGGGTTAATAAACATAGGTTAGACTCAACCTAATAATGGACTGATTTTTCAGGCAGCATCATGTTTGTTTCAGTAGAGGTTTTACGGCGCTCGCAACTGCATAAGGTCATATGAGCGCCAGAAGATTAGAGGTGTTACAAGAGAGTAACAAACATAAAAAAAGAAAAAGGGGAGATAAGGACGATAGATGTTTGATAGGAAAAAAGGAGCAAACCACACCAGAGCACCCGCCAACCACCCACACAGCATCGTGTAAAGAATATGATTGGATCTCTGGAGTTGCGCGAAAAACAGCAACCTTATCCCTTAATTTTGCGAGGTGCTTTTGTGAGACAACATTTAGGTACTCAAAACCGATTTACAACCAAGCAGCTAAACATACTTAATTAAGGGAAAATATCAAAATGTTCTTTACCGGTAATTAAGTAATGCTGCCGGAATGCATCAAGTACCAAGATCTCAAAATAACTGATTTAAGCAGACTGCTGAATTGGGCTGTTTGTTTGTTTGAGTAAAGAGAAGCTCATCTACACAATATTAAAATGTAACGGTATTTTAGTGTTTGGAAAAAGTACCACAGACAGACAGAAATAAGAGAGGTTAAGTGTCAAGTAGATATCTAGAGAGCCACTTATCTTTCCAACATCAAGCAATAAAATCATCAAGTTTTTTACCGGTAAAAAAAATAAACAAATCAGAACATGAGAACACCTTTTTTCATTAGCATCCACTTTTTGTGAATTTAATTATGAGGCGTGCCGTACCCTATCTTTTGAAAAACTATATGGTTGCTTTTAAGAAGAAGGGGGCTATCCCGAAAAATGCTGTTTGGAGAAAATGGAAGGTAAAGTTTTTGCCCCTTGTTGCGTTTCTTTCAAAGTCAAGGAGAGTTGTCTCTTTAACCAAACAAATATATACACACACCAGTGAAACCAAATTTCTCCTATAGGTAGGGAAATGCTCACTTTTGGTGCAGGTCAACATTTCTGGAAACCCCCGAAATCTGGGTTAGCCGGCTTGTCCTTAAAAGCTACCATATAAAGAAAAAGGAACTCAAATTTAATTACTACACCCATCACATTACTTGTAAAGATAAAGCAGAGTTTATAATACCGAGACATTTGCAGAATACAATTTTCAAGTTAATATATATTGTTAAAACTATACGCTTGTGGGGGAAAAAAAAAAAAAAAGTTCACTACGGTACAGTACCCCATTTTTCAGTCGTTGCTTTTTTTTCTTTATCTCAACGGCGTTTTCTTTCAAACTGGAATCCTAAAACTGATCGAGGGCTCTCTCACACTATAGCTGGTGCTGCTCATTCATCTGTGGAGATAAAATGTCGGGGTACGTAATGTCAGATTTCATTTCTGTGGTTAAAAAGTATCTAAAATCAACACCACTGTCAGATCAATGACCTACATCTATAATCCTGGAATCTCTATTCTGCTATTACATGTATTTGTTATACTAAGTATGCACATAAAGCACTATTGAACACTATCACTATTTTCTACTAATCAGATGGCGTCAATCTCATCTATAAATGGGTAAGGGGGAAAAAAAAAAAAGATTTCATTTCTGTGAGTGAGAGGTGGGCAGTGTAATACAAAGCAGTCATTGCAAAACTCATCAGAATTTAGAAAGAGTCTGAATCTAAAAGAAATCCCAGGCGATTTATTCTGAAAGTCTTCATCACGGAGCTATTTGTCTAGACAAACATTACATCTGATGTTCTTAGAAATAGATGAGGTACAAGATACATTCACAAGTAAAATAACTGTTAACTATCATTTATCAGATTCTCTCATCAATAAACAGGGATGTAACCAGGTTTTGAAAAAAAATCCGGAAAATATACGGCGCGCGCGCACGCACTGACTGAAATAAGAATACAGTGAGACTAAATTATATTTGTTTCCTTCCCTCTATTACAACAAATAATCTCTATTTAGTAATATATATATATATATAATATATATTGTTTATAGTAGACTTTTGTTACAAGCTGGGACCCAAATGGCAAGTCGGCCGGACAAACCGGAAAAAGCCGGAAGATTTATATTATACATCCCTGGAATTTAGAGAGAGCGTGAATCTAAAAGAAATCCCTGGCGATTTATTCTGAAAGTCTTCATCACGGAGTTATTTGTCAAGACAAACACATCTGATGTTCTTAAATAGATGAGGTACAAGATACATTTACAAGTAAAATCACTGTTATTAAAAATTAATAAGTTTCTCTCCTGCATCAGTAAAAGACACACACACACAAACACACACACACACACACACAAACCACACATACACACACAAACACACACGCCACACACACACACCTATACACCTCTGTATGTGTCACGATGCTGTGGAATCAGGCGCTCGTCAAAACAATGAAATCAAAGAAACCGGAATTTTCCCTGGAAGTTGCGATGGGTAATTTTTTTCTAATTAATTTTCTTCTTTTGACGCAACACCTTTTATAAAATATCCATTTAAAAACACATTTCCATGTGGATTTTACTGAACATCATTGATTAAAGGCACAAAAAATGTGAATTTTCAGTTTTCACAGATTCTCAAGCTATGCATGGAAATTACTAAACTTTGGCGGCCATTGTCTGTCTAATTTTACCTCTGAAACCAGGCGACCCTGACCTCCTTGAATGGGAAATATTTCGACTTTTATTCAACATAAATGGACATTTTTTCACCAAAAGCAAGGCAAATGAACAGCACTTTAAGATGATACCAAAAAGCCCATTACCAAAACTTGACGGGCGCCTGATTCCACCACGATGCTGCCTCACATACTGGCTAAAAGATTCTATACACACATACAGGAGATAGGTACTGAGGTCACCCTCCTCCTAGATGCCAAATCAATCAGATTCTCTTTATTTAGTTTAGTTTTAGTAGAGGTTTTACGGCGCTCGCAACTGTACAAGGTCATGTAAGTGCCAGAAGATTAGAGGTGTTACAAGAAAGTATCAAACATAAAAAAGAAGAAGGGGAGATACGGACAATAGACGTTTGATAGGAAAGAAGAAGCAAACCACACCAGAGCACCCACCAACCACCCACTTAGACTGTTTGCACAAGAATCAAAATATATAGTATAATAATCTACTTTTAACCCTATTCATACATCGAGTTTTACTATCGTATCCAATTGACGTGGGGAACTCTGTGCTACCACTTTCCAAAGAGGAAATTTACTCGTTAATCCGATCTGTGCGCTTTGCATAGCAGTCCGTCAAAATGATTTTTTGAGCCAATACTGAAAAGTTTCAAAGAGATCTTCTCGTAACAAAAAGTATTCTAAAATGCAAAGAATACAACTGTGGAGGTACAAAATGACCCCAGGGCGTACGGATAGGGTTAATCTAGATTCTAGGTTCGTTGCCTATTGAAGTTGAAGCAGCCATTGTTAAAATTCCCGCGCTTAATTCCGATTTCCGTTTTTCATAGCCTCAGGCATGCTTCCCTTTGGTCTGCTAACCCTAACCCTGACCCTAACCATAACATAACCCTAACCCTGACCCTGACCCTAACCATAACCCTAACCCTGACCCTAACCCTATCTCTGAAAAACGTAATCGGAATTAAACTCGAGGATCTTAGCAATCGTCATTGTCCGCCGTTGAAGCATTGATAGTCAACTTTCTTAGTTGAGGCACTTCGGATCATCACTGACCTTGTGAACTCAAAGCAGACAGCCAGTACTGATCGACGAACAATGAAGAAACCTGTAAAAGCAACCTCTTAATAGATCTTCATATCTAGCTAGGGTTTGTTGTGAACTTAGGAAGAGGCCATATGTAGAGATCTAGACTCTAGTGTTGGAGTTGAGTAAAGTGAGACTAACAAATTAACTAGAAATCTAGATCTAGCTGGGAATGATAAATGAACAGTCCAGTACAGTAGGAGTTGATGTTAGTTAGATCTAGATGTTGCGTCATCATCGGGACCTGGTGTGGCGTGTTATTTCAACTTCAAGTAAGGTCCTACGAGTATGAAGACTGAAGAGTAACATGTTACATTTTAGATTCTAGACTAGACTAGCCTATCAGATCACTCAGAGCCAGAGACAGAGACTGATGAGATGTAGATCTATCATTCTATGTGACACCATGTTGTGACTATGATTATCAACAACTTTACAAACTTTTACAAACCAATGGCTCTCACAAGACGTTGTTGCACGGTCAAAAATGTAATAACCATGGCCGTGCCGTATCCAGTCACGAATCCCGCCCGTGTCCAGTAGTCAGCTCGTCTCGATCTAGATCAAGAATAATCAAGATACTAGAATCTAGACTCTAGATCCTAGTTTCGTTTTCAGTTTTCAGAGTAAAGTACGGCAACAAACCACCCTTTGACAGCGGAAGTACTCTGTGGGCGTGTGTCGAATGTTGATCTAAATTGACCTTTGGCCTTTGGAAGTTGATACTTGATACGCTTATCACTTATCAGGTCTCTGATCTCTCACACAGTCACACAGTAAAAACAGCCGACCGCCTGTACTGCTGATCTGATGATAATCAAATGACAATGGCGTAAGTCATTCTGTTTGTCGTAATGATCAGATCTATGCAAACTAACAGAGAATGAGATAATATTATTTGTCAGTCGTTATAATTTTGTTATCCCCTCACTCAATTCTTTCTCAAATTAAACGATGTCTAATATAGGCCTAGATCTACATGGCATAGGCAAAGGCCTAGCCAGGACCGCGTGTGGCTGACTTTGCCTTTCAAATTTTCTAATTAATGACTCTTCAGCCTACTTTATTTATTTTAAATAATCAAAATTTCTGCTTGTCTCTTTATAATTTCTCAACTTGTTACAAGTCTACTTCTCTAAGTTCTACCGTACACATTTCCAGTTGTGTGTTTTAGTGTGTTTGTCGTTTTGCACAGGATGTGTTCTAGGCCGCTTATATAATATATATATCCTAGTCTAGTATTTTTATAATAATAATAGATTCTTCAATAGCCTAAAGTTTTATTATTAAGTTATTATTAATAAAGTGGTAGGCCCTATAATTATAGTAATATTGTCTAATTTCCCAATAGCACCTATATATTTGAAGTCAGCAGCTCATCACGGACAAAATCTGGCTGCTATTATAATTTTATAATGATTATTATGTGTTACGATTCCAACGCCTATATATATATAACGTGTAGCCTACATGTATGTTCAACCGCGGGGGATTCAATACCCCATGCCTATGTTTAATTTAAAATTCAAGGTCGAGATCTTGATCAAGCATTGTAATGTTTCCAGTCTTCCTTTATAAGAACTCCTGCGGTAGCTTGTCTTAGATGAAATGGCGATTAAGGAGCAAGTAAAAAATTCCATCTCTTTGACATCAAACCTTCAAGGACACTGGAGTTGAGGGAGAGAGGGAGTAGGGGATCTGCTCCAGAGGCCAAGCCGGTGAGATCTAGGGTCGCTTGGCCTGCACGACAACTCTCAAGTGTCCTAGCCTCTCTGATAATGGCATGCATCAGTCTTACTTCCATTGCCGCCTAATGCTTGCATCTCATTAGGAAAAAAAGGAGCGATTTATTGCTGGAATTTTACGGTCGGCAAAAATATTTAAAAATTCAATTATTACACCTGCATAATATGTTGAACAGTCTCATTCAGATTTACTTTGTCTCCCCATTTCAGACGACCTGCATACGAGAGGTTCAGGAATGTTCTTGAACTGTTAGTGAAGGATGAGAAAATTCTTCTCAATGACCAACCCCGGTATGTCACCTTTAGATACGGAGGACTGGAACACGCCTTGTTTGATCGGAATGGTTAGTATCTCGTATTAATTCTGTTGCTGTTTGTATGACAACGAATAGGTCAAAGTTAGGGTCAGTGAGTGGTTGGCAGGTACTCTGGTGTGGTTTGCTTCTTCTTTCCTTTCAAACAGCTATCGTCTTTATCTCCCCTTCTTCTTTTTGTGTTTGTTACTCTCTTGTAACACCTCTAATCTTCGGCACTTATGTGACCTTATTGCGTTGCAAGTGCCGTAAAACTTACTAAAGCGAAACGAAAAGTTAGGGTCATGATCAAGGTAAATAGTAAATGAACATTATCTTGAACTTTCTGCTGGGATGTTGTAGCCCTCTCAGCCCGAGTTGACCCTGACAGGAAATGTCAGAAGCCAGCTTCCTGAATGATCAAAATTGATTTGTGGCATGAAAACGTCAGCATAAAAAAGTCCAAAGTCTGTTAAATGTCTGCGTACAGTACTTTTCTGCTCATACAGACTTGTTATTTGTCTTCCTATTTTAGGACAGACAGTGGAGTCTGTTCACACCAAACATGATTAATCCTTTAAAAAATTGATATACCAAAAGAAAGTGAAATCCGTATCTTTTTTTATCAATTTTAGTTTTTAAAAATATTGATCTATCTTGCATAGAAGTAGAAGGGGAGATATGTGAGAGAAAAAAACTTTTAAAACCCGGTGTATGCCTTAGATTATATAAAATAATGGTCCCTCAGATTATCGTGGCGTCGGTGGCTTAGTGGTTAAGCTCTCGGACTCGCAACCGTTAGGTTGTGGGTTCGAATCCCGTCAGGGGCCTGACGTGTCCTTGGGAAAGGCACTTTGCACAAATTTTCCTCACTTCACCCA